CGTTTGTTCCTCTTCGTCGGTAATATCCAAAAGGAGTTTATTCGTGAAAACTAGGTGAACTTCAGGGTCAAATAAGGAGCGTACTATTTGAGTAATAATTGGTTTCAAAGTCTCATTATGACGGAAAATACCGTATGTATTTTTTGGATCTACATACTCGATAAGTGTTCGAGATATCTGAGAATGTATGTTATCAGAGGAAAGTGTGGCGTACAATCTAAATTTATTTTTGAAGATCTCCTGTCTGGTGATTTTATAATTACCTAAAATTTTGAATTCAAATTGACATTTAAAATAGTTCAATGGATGTTCCGAAAATGGAAGTAAATTTATAGGGTGTTCATAATTGCTATTCTCTATGGTTCCCGATCTCGAAGGATTATAAGAAGATGACTCATCAGAGTTTTCTTCTACTTCTCCTTGTACAGAAGTTGGATTATTTTCACGTTTATTTTCGAGACACTCTCTTACCAAAGGAATCTGAAGATAACGAGGATTTGCCTTAGACGATGAGGGTATTTGATCATCTACAGCGTTAAGTTCCGCTCTTGATAAGGCATCAGCAACACAGTTTTCCTTACCTCTCTTATAAAGTATATCATAATCGTATTCTTCTAAGCGGACCTTCCACCGTGCCAGCCTGGATACAGGGTCTTTCAAATTAAAAAGCCAAGTTATTGGTTTGCAGTCAGTTTCGATTACAAATTTTTTGCCATACAAATAAGGTCGAAAATGTTTCACGGAATCTACTATCGCAAGTAACTCTCTCTCGGTAGCGCTATAGTTCCTTTCAGCATTATTCAATGTGCGAGAATAAAATGCGACGGGGCGGTCTTTTTGGGAAAGAACGGAACCAATCGCAACACTACTGCTATCAGTCGTTAGTTTAAAAGGCTGCGTAAAGTCTGGATAAATCAAGACTGGAGAGTTTGTGACTAATTCTTTTAGTTTTTCGAATGCCTGGATATATTCCCTATTCGTTATATCTAATATGGCACCCTTTTTTAACATTCTGGTCATTGGTTGTGCAACTCGAGAGTAATCTTTAATAAATTTTCGATAGAATCCGGTGAGACCTAAAAACCCTTTAATTTGTTTTGTGGTCTTTGGAATAGGAAATTCTGTAATTGCCTTAATTTTGTCTGGATTTGGCTTAATGCCTTGTTCGGTAATTACATGTCCTAAGAACGGTACTTCCTTGCGAATAAATTCCGTTTTATCCAACTGTACCTTTAAATTAAATTGTTTCAATTTTTTAAATACAAACTCTAAATGTTGAATGTGCTGTTCGAGTGATTTTGAATATACCAAAATATCATCCATATAAACAATACAACTTTTATACAACTGATCACGGAGGACATCATCCATTAAACGCTGAAATGTGGCTGGTGCATTTCGCAAGCCAAAGGGCATCCGGACGTATTCAAGGTGCTGATTGTTCACAGTAAAGGCTGTTTTCTCGATGGATTCAGGGTCCATCTCTATTTGGTGAAATCCTTGAGAGAGATCGAGTGTCGAAAAAAAGGAGCATTTGCCAAGATTGTCTAATATTTCGTCAATTCTGGGAAGTGGATATTTATCTTCCACAGTTTTTGAATTCAGTTTTCGATAGTCGATAACTAGACGCCACTTACGTTGACCAGATGCATCTAAACGCTTTGGGACTATCCACACCTGAGAGGAGTATGGACTAATACTGGGGCGCACGATTTTGTTATCAATCAATTTTTGTACCTGTTTGTTGATTTCTTCTTGAAGAACAGGAGGGTATCTAAATGGTTTCTGATAAATCGGTATTTTATCCGTTGTTCGGATTTTGTGCTTGACGTGGTGAGTACAGGTCAAATCTGTACCTTCGCAATGAAATATATTCTTATACTTTTGACAGAGTTCGAGAATTTTTTGTTTTTCACTAGGTGTAAGGTGTTCAGTACGCAGTAATTGTGCAATATTGGAAGTATTTTCTTGGTTATCAGGTTTTTTAATGTTGTATTCAAGTAAAGAATCTACGTCCATAGGTTCTATGCAACATATCTCTTCTGGAGTGGTATTTTCTATAGGAATTGGTAACGTAACATGAGAATTATAAGCCGTGGCTATGCAATCGGGAAAAATGATACCATTTATTTCAAATTCCGGTATAACAACAGGACCATTTTCTATTTTAACTGGTATAGTGATATGATTGATATATTCGAGGCGAGTAGGTTTGATAGGCGTAGCCCTTTCGATAACGAATGGGATACATTGATTTCTTAGTTGAACTGTTTGATTCGTATAATCAATTTTCGCTCCTAACTTTTGAAGATCATCTGTGCCTAGCAGAAGATCAAACTTATCATGCCAATCAACTACTTTAAAATTTAGAACTTTATTTATACCAAATTCGTTCAAGATTGGGTACCGGACATTTTGTGTACCATGGGAAATTGTATTTAGCGATTTTACCTCAAAACTTTGATCAAATAGAAATTCGGAAAAATACGTATTTGCAATATCAGGATTCATGATATTTGACGTAGCTCCCGTGTCTACTAATATTTTAAGACCTAATTTTGGGAGGACTATATAGGGGAGCCTTGAGAGCTTGTAAATATTATTTAAGTCGACTGATTCATTTCCGAGGCCGCTATAGGAAAATTTTCAGCCTGTGCGTCATCATTCTCAAAAGTAACTACTCCACTATCCAAGTAATCATTATCTTGTTGGTAGCCATAAGCGGTTTCAGAAAAATAATCATTGTCGCATTGATCGTGAGATTCAGTGCCTTCCGTCTCCTGATTATGGAGCTCTTCCACAATCACATTTGGCCTGCCTGTTTGTTGAAAGAAATTGGGACGATATGACTGCCTTACAGAAGTGTTTGGACGATAATTACTACTATCTACAGACATAGGCGTTGGCCTATTTGGTTGGGGATTTCTGGAAATTTGTTGATTTGAATTTTGGGAACGATTTGGCATTAACTGTGGTTGAGTTGTATACGGAAATGGTCTCGTACCATAATTTGGTCTGGGAGGTAAACTATTTGGTCTCGGTGGGCCAATTCTGGGTGGAGACATTTGGAATTGTGGCCTAAATTGATTTTGAAAGTTATTATTGAAGGTATTATCTTTGTGGTTTGGTAGAGATTTGGGAAGAATGCTATTTTTTCGTTGGGGTTCGTCCTTATCTCTCATGAAATTTGTTAGAGAACGTTCATACCAGAAATTTTCCATTTCCTGGATCTTATGTAACGCATCGGGTAACGTACCTACATGCGAATGAGCGAAAATATTCCCATACTGATCCTTTAGACCAAAAATAAATCGTTTTAAGGCCTGATCGTTGTACATGTCGGATTTAATTTGAAATAACTCCGGGGACGAATTCAGTTTTACCTGTTGCAAGATTTTTTGCAACTGTTCGTTAATTCGATCGTAATATTGTTGATACGATTCTTTATTAAGCTGGTGCATGCGAGAGAGTTCGTACGCTAAGCATGACTCGTTCCTTCTATCTCCGAATCTGTTAATAAGTATATCTTTGACGTCTTTCCAGGTAACCCAAGAACTGTTATTCAATAAATCCCTAGCCTCACCTTTAATTTTTGCAATAATATTATGAAGAAGTAGCTTGTTGAACACACAATTGGGATCTGGTTTTTTAAGTAGCTGTATAAATTGATCCCCTTTCGTTATAAAGTCTAAAAGATCCTTGGTGCCACCAAAATAATCAGGCACAATATCTTTAGCAAGAGACAACTCTAGATTAGTAATTTCCGAAGTCATGACTGGTGAATCAAGAGCAAATTCACGACGTCTTTCTGAATCTGATTGATCCGATTCGCTATCAGAATGATAAAAAGGCATATAAAATTATTAGAGCCACCAAAACTTCAATAGCCAATATCACAGAAATTACAAAAATAAGATAATATATAATATAGAAATAGAAATATTCACTAAATAGGTATTAATTGTCTATGAAAAAGCGACACTGAAATGTTTCAAATTAGCAACAAAAATGTTCAAAGACTTACAGTAGCAAGATCACACACTGAAAATCCATGAAAGGCGCGGTTTTCTGTCTTCTTCTTTTTCTCTGTTTCGGCTCCACTAGCTTCTACAGTAGACTGGCTGTACTGCTACAGTTGCTGCACACCCTCCTAGTAGTGCCGGACTTACTGCTAACTTTTTGGGAGTTCTGGAACTTCAGGCCGTGGCCCAGTGCTAATGGTCTTCAGTGCCTTCACTCGGTTGCTTATTACTGGCTAGGATTCCTCCAAGAACATTGAAAGTTCGCGTGCCTTTTCGTTTAACTGGTGATTTCGGCTTGCCGATAATCTGCTCGATTGCCTCGAATTCGGACGCCGAAGGAACACGTTTCACGTTTCGCGACACGCTGAGGGATCCCGGTTGAGCCCCCAGTTAAATTACTGATACCGAGATTGATGTTTTTAAAAAAAACTTTATTTCCAAAATCGGTACAGAGTGACTTCTAGAGAAACCTTGTCACGTAGGTACGTAAAACAAGACGGTCAAACCAAAAGTGACGAGATTTCCTAACATATGAATCTAGCGTGGTATACAAGAAATATGATATGATAAAGAAAACGATGTTAACATGAGAACTAGCAAGGCGCGAGATAACATTCTTGAGCGCCGCGTCATTGCTCGTGAGAAATCAAGTGCCTACTAAGTAAATTATAATTTTATATAATGTACAGGGTGAGCATGGACATAACTTATATACTATAATTATAATAAACTCTATTTCTGTAATTTTGCTGTTTTTTATTGCCAATGTTTCACTGTCTAATTGATATGGAACAGCTAGGCGTAGACTATCAATAATTAAAATTATTCATAACCCAGCAGTGATTTCTTAATATCAATTTGAAAAAAAAACATGCCTTATGTCATTCAGATGCTTTCACCATTAAGATGAAGAACATTCACAAAAGTTCTAGATATTATGTAAAAGAGGAGTATAAAAGCAATAGCATTTTCATCGAAAAAGCTTGAAAAGTTTTTTATTTAATAAAAATATACACAGAACATCCTCTAGCGAGACTCTAGTCTAGACATAACATAACTATGAGATCTTAAATTATTTACATGAAATCTAGAGGTGGGGATACAAAGAATAAATAAAAAGACAGATACATGGACACAGATTAGTCTTTTTTAATTATATCCACACCAACCTTAAATATAACCTTCTGAGGGTTCTTGGGACATATTCTTTTAATTCGAAACGTAACTTTGCTCTTCTCTTGAAGCCTCTGTGTTTTTGAAAGTATTCACATAAAGCACAATTACAAAGCCATCAACCAAATTATTTCTTTGTGTATCCGTGATTGACCATATACCCTTCCTCTAAAGGTAGAATAGCATGGAACTAAAATAAAGTAAATAACATTGTTTATTTACAAAATAACAACTGATAACAATATTTTGAAAAAAAATATAAGACCTAGAGTATTTTACTTACAGTTTCTCCATAATTCTTCATTTGTAACTATTTTCAAGATTCATGTGGACTGTTTATTTCAATAAATAAGGAAAAATGTTTTAATCTTTTACTCTTTACAACAAAACAAATTAAACATGAACAAGACATTAACAAATATTGACAGTGAACAAATTTTGACATTTCCACAATGACGACACTCAACCAATCAGACAGGTCTTATTCACAAGTGTAGCAGGTTTAGAAATCACGCGACCGGTATGCGAGCGATTTGAAATCAGTCTTAGTTCAGTCGCTTGCAACCTGATTTGCTGGTCGAGAACAACTGAGGTTGTGCAATTCTGGGGAACATTTTTATTAATTTGCGTGGTTTTGTTTAGGGCTGCAAATTTTCAGATTGTTGAAAATGAGTGATCAGTTAGTAAATATTAAGTTTGTACAGGAAGTGGAAAAACACGAAGTATTGTATAATTATAACCTTCCTGGATACTCAAGACGAGATGTAACGGAAAAAGCGTCGAGTGAGGTGGCGAAAGAAGTGAGCATGACAGGTATGTACAATGCGTTTAATAATATAAATTAATTAATGAACAACATATATTGCACATTAATTGACAAAACGACGGAACAAGATATTGTGTAGCAGGACAACCAATATATTTAATCTATAAAAAAGTAAATAAGATATCAATTTTGATAAAAGCATATATGTAACAACAGTTTTATCTGCGTTACTACTTTTGTACAGTAAAAATCAAATGTCTCGGACACAATAATTCCATTGCCAGGGAAGAGAGGCATGAGGAGACAGAAAATAATTAGAAATATAATTTCTGAGGGCAGTTGGTGTTGCATCCACATTTATTGTTATATCTGCCATTGGTATAATTGTGTTATTTTGTGATGTTCCTGTCATTTGAACTGAAGATGCTGTATACTCAATTCCTTCTCGAGCGCGAACAAAGTTGTGTAAAACGCAAACGGCTTTTATTATATTGCTGACTGTTCCCAGATCTCGGCATAGTATAGGACCGTTTAGGACCTGAAACTTTTCTGCTGCCATCCCAAATGCGCATTCAATTGTTTTTCTCCCTCGGCTCAATGAATAGTTAAAAATGCGTTTAACGTTGTCTAGTGTTCTTTTTGGATACGGTCTCATTAAATATCGTGTTAATGGAAAAGCTTCATCCCCTACAAAATAGTAAGGCAATGGGACTCTTTTTCCATCGTGCGTTAAGGGGGATGGTGAAGGAATCTCAAAATTGCCTTGTGTTATCCAGTACTTGATTCTAGAAGCACGGAAGATCCCTCCATCGCTGTTTCTTCCTGCGTAACCTGGTTCTATCACTGTAAATAGTCCATCTGCATCACAACATGCCATAAGTACCACAGAATGATGATTTATAATTGAAGTATTCTGAACCAGTGTTAGCAAATTTCTGTATTCGGATATGTTTACCGTCTATTGCCCTGATGCAGTTGGGAAGGTTCCACAAGAACTCGAAACGATCTGCTATCGCTTTCCATTTTTCAACCGTTGGTAAAGGCATATAGGTGTCATTCAGCAAATCCCAGATTATTTTTGTTGTTTCTTTAACGATAATACCAACTGTGGTCTCCCCTCTTGCGAAGTATAAAGAAAGCGATACAAACGTGCAACCCGTAGCCAAGTACCTGTAAAAACATAGAAATATGAAATTTAAAAAAGGTATTAATAAATTGCTATTTATTGACTATTATAAGGTATTTCCCTACGATATCTATAATACATATAAGTTATCTCTCATGTTTTCTTTTGCGTAATTTCCATTTTTTGCTTCTTTAATAATTAAAAAAAACTCCTTTTCCAGTTGCTGAGTGCAAGGAAAAATGGAGAAACCTTCGTACAGTTCTTTCTCGAAAAATGAAATGCCCTCCAAGTGGATCAGGAGCGACAAAGAAGAAAGCTTATTACTTGGCTGATGTAACGCAGTTTGCTGTGCCATTTATAAAGACAGCCATTCCTCCTTCACCTGGAAGTTTGCCAGAGATGCCTGAACAACAGACAACCCAAGTACTATCACCCTCAACTAGCGATTATGATGAAAGTATTGCAGAAAATGATACAGAACCTGCATCGTTCTCACAGCAGCCCTCATCTCCATTTTCTCCGCCACCGCCGCCACTACAACAAACAGCACAGACTAAACGAAACACAGAGGGAAAGTCTTGTCAGAAACAAAAATTTAAGGTGGCCTCACGGCGGAAATGAAAAGAGGACGCAGATGTGTCTATCGCTGAATATTTTACAGCTAAGAAGACTAAATTTGACCAAAATCAACAAGATGAAAGGAAAGAAAGTATTAAAATGTTTTTGTTAAGCCTGATACCCGATTTGTCTCAGTTGAGTGATGTACAAATAAGGGAATTTAAGCGAAGAGTTTTGAATATTATCGACGATATTGGATTGAGTGCAGTAAGCCCCACCGAAAATACTACTGCTCGCTGCCAAAGTGGATCTGTGACATATTATATGTCATCAAGTTTATCAGCAATATCATTTCCATCGACTCCTCATAATATTCCTCCCACAAGTCAGTATTATGAGAATTTTAGACATTCTCTGTCCCCCACTGAGGTCAATACCTACACTATTATTGATGACAGCACAACTTAGCAAGTTGCGTTCTTCCTTTTTTAAATGTTTAATTGTATTAAGCTTAAATATAATACTTACCTTAAAGTGATTAGTATTCTTTCCTCTGCGCTCACACATTCTTGCATATTTGTGTTCATCTTTGATAGGAAAGGGCTAAGCAGCTTAACTAATTCCAGGTAAGAAGCTTTGGACATTCTGTAGCATTGCACGAATTTGACATCTGTTTCGGCTAGCTGGTTAGCTGCCATGAAAAACCTGCAGTTTATGTTTCTTTCAATATAAGGATGACACCACAGTTTTCTTCGAAGCCTTCGTTGTCTTTTGTATCGGTAATAAATAAGCACGTCTTCTTCCTCACTACTAGACATATCTCACAGAAATAGAAGAAAATGTTAAAAAAACTGCATTCGTACTGCTCTCATGTACAGCACTGTTTGAGCTGGTTGTACGATACCAATTCAAATTCAGTCGTTTCATGTGCGGACAAGTGCAAGCAATATGAAACTATAATTTTAAAACAATTGCGTTGCTTGGCAGTTGATCAACACGTATCGCGACCTGGTTGCGTCGTGTGCGGACGGCCTTTATTAAGAACCCAACTTATCGTTTTGCAAGCTGTAGTGCGGTGAATCCCATAGTCTTCTGCTACTCCGCTCTGAAAGCCTGGATTGCCTAGATAGCGTAGAAATATCTTCATTTTTGTTGTTGCAGAGAGTGCTCCGCCTCTGCGTTCATTATTTTCTGGCAGAAACTCGGAACATAAGAAGTCTACACTTTCTGAATCAAACCTTAACAAACATTTTGACTGACTAGGGCTAATATTCCGTCTTTTTCGATATGTTTTACCCGCACGTAAATGCATGGAATCTGCCATCTTCAACCGTAAGTACACTATTCACTTACCTTAAAAATTATTGAGCATTTACTAACAACATAAGTATTTACCTACCGATTATTCACTCAATTTTAAGTAAATGCTCGGAAAAACTGAGGTTTTACTACATAAGCTAAGTACTTACTACAAAGAGGAGTAAATGCTTGATCTTAAGTATTTACTTGATATTGTTTCACCCGATCCTAGGTATTCACTTATAAATGCCCTAGTACAAGCATTTACTACATTTTATTCACTTGGCTCATTGACTGTTTTATCCCTAACAGTATCATTTTGTACTTAAGGGAGAAACCCATATGGAAATTATTCTCAAGTCTGAGTTTTTAAGAAAAAACGTCCTCATGTCGAAAAATAAGACAAACACATCTGCTGGAACATAATAATACTAAGTAATACTTCGGCACATCACACTCGGTCAGATCGAGACTACCTCAATTACAGAAATTCAAAATTCGTCAAGATAGATCAGGCTGCGCGGCCTTATTTCATGCCCACCAAGATTTAACCAACTAAGTCCACTAGATTTTTTATAGGAGCTCCTTTAGATAATTTGTATACCAAGTTGAGCTGACCTCAGTAATAGAATTGGGTTTCAAAACTGAACCAGCCTCGAGCATGCTACTAGCTATGTTTGTAAGTTAAAAATATGTTTTGAATAAAAATGTAGTTCTTCCATAACAGTCAACGGTGCTCATTACAATAATATCTTAAATTAATATTATTCATCAACATCAATCCTGTCTATTTTTTTAATCCAAGCCATAAATTGTTATTTTCTATATCGACGAAAGCTGATCCTCGCTCACTATAACTGTAATAAAACGAAAACAAAAAACAGCAGAGAATGAATAACAGAAATACCATTTAAGAATTATCAATAATTGGCCAACTTTTTAGACTAATCGGCATAGTGATCGTACTTGATCCTCTCACTCTACAAGGTGTCACAGTCAGCGGTTTTCATAAAAATTTAGACTTTGCCATGACGTTTATGTAGTTTTTTTGCCACCTTAGGAAAACTAATACTAGATCTTAGTCTTAAAATACACCTGGTCTAAAAAAGTGGATATTTGTAAAAATGGCACGGAATAAACTGAATCTAAGCAAGTATTTAACAGAAATGGATGCTGAAAATCTAGAAAACCATAAGACTTTTACTTAAATAAAATTTGATTATATGGTAGGCCATGACCTGACCTATCTACAATTGCGGGATTATACTTGAATACCGGAACTCCCTGTATAAGGTTTTGATTCGGCCAGATAATGATAATGAAGACCACAGAATTAATTTTGAGAGTTACATCGACAATATTGAAGGGTAATTATTTGTTTTTCGTTTACCTCTCCTCTCGAGTCTGAATTGGGGCGTTTCGACATCAGCACGGTTTTTCGGGTTCGCGAACGGTTTTAACAGAAAGCGATACCGTTTCGGAAACTAGAAACTGGGCGCGTTACGGGCGAGTAAGAACTGTCGAGACAAGAGGAAGAAATGCAATCAAACACGGCGGTCAAAGTCGAAAAAATGGTAGATTTTCGTGATGTTTCGAAGTAGTGTGTCTATGGGGATTCAGTCTCACTGTTTCTAAAATCCGCCACTAGAGGCGCTGGCGTCGTGCGCCATTGATGAGTTAGACGGAATCTGTATGTGAAATTGATGAGTTGGGGATTCCGCCGCTAGATGGCGCTGTACAAACCAAACGGAATCTATGTGTCATTGGACACCTGTCATGCGTCATTGGGCATCTCGCGCATAGATGGCGCTACACACGTCATCTGTCATATGTCATTGGACACCTGTCATTGTTGGGTTGGCATCTCGCGCATAGATGGCGCCGATTTGTTGTCTGGCGCTGTACAAACCAAACGGAATCTGTATGTGTCATTGCACACCTGTCATTGATGGGTTGGGCATCTCGCTCATAGATGGCGCCGATTTGTTGTCTGGCGCTGTACAAACCAAACGGAATCTGTATGTGTCATTGGACACCTGTCATTGATGGGTTGGGCATCTCGCGCATAGATGGCGCCGATGTCGCACCTGGATGGTGTTGGCGTGGATATACGGGGGGCAGAAATTTAGAACATGTATACAGAGGTGCATCGAAAAATAGCGGATCGATGGACCGACGGTATATCGTTAAATCGTATATAGCAAGGCGTGACCTAAATAGCATGGTGGGCGCCTCTGGTCGGTCAGAATGTCTTATAACCTGTACACGATGTACTATTATTATACAGGATGATACCGTTCAAAATGAAAATAGTACATGTATAATGGACATTTTATTGAAACATATAGTATATATAACAATAAGGTTGATTGGTGTGTATGTGTGTGTGTATGAAATTTTCAGTTGCCTACAGTGTCGTCTGAATCAATATCGCTGTGTTCTGGTCGTGCAGGTAGATTGAATGATTGTTTTAAGTGATGCTTGTAATTATCAGGGAGTACTTTAGATGTTGATACTAATCGACTCAAATCATTCTTCGACAACTGATTTGGTTCATGACAGACAAGAACCAAATTATATATTTCACGGTTCAGTTCTGGTTGTTTTTTAAGTTTTTCCCTAAACGCATCGTAATTAGCCTCCTCGCTAGTTATGTTTGGTTTTACCATTTTTTATATCAACCTCTTTTTGAACAAAACAATTGCTTGCGACTGGTTTGAATGATTGATACTGTAGCACTGCTACTGCTGATACACAGACTTTATGTAGTAGAATGATGGTGGGGGTGGGGAGTCGAAGGAACCGAATGTTTTTTTTGTTTGACAACAGGCTGAATACGAAATAAACATAGCTTTCAGAAAAATGTATTTTTTAATGATATACAGATACAAGTTTAGATATCAGAGTTTTTAGTTGATGTAACAAATCCTCGTTGGGGCATGGTACTCCAAATAGAGTCCAATGAAATGGTCCGGTCGCAACAACTTTTCTTGTAAATTCATTAAATTTATAGTAAGTTGCGTGACGGAAAAAGTAAATATGAGCATCAATCCATCGAAGTGCGAGAGAAATATGTTCAGGTAACCCAGGAAATATGTCTCTTATCCGTCCGCTGTTCAACACATCAGTAAAATCGTTAGAAAATTCTATATATGACATATTATTATAAAAGGTATAGGACCGTCCTGCGTTTGATTGAAAAATAGCATTGATTCGAGCCCTATCGGGTATATCAATTGAAAAATTATCAAGAAATTTAATGGTAGGGAATCATGCTGAGAAATATTTGTTTGTAGACACAATGGTAATCAAGTCACCGTTTGTTGATTGGAAAATATGTTGTAAAGTGTATTGACGTAATTCTGTAGGAACATAATCGACAAGAAGTTCAGGCTGAGATGGGATAATCATTTCGTTTAAGTCTAGTTTCCATATAAACATATCATGTGCAATATATAATCGGTAATTTGAAAACTCTGGAGCAATGGCTAAAAACATAAAATCAGGAATAATATCACACAAATTTTTGAGGATCGGCTGCTTGTAGATCTTATAGTTGTTGTTGTTTTTGGTATTGCTGATGCGGTGGTAGACTTTGGGATTGAATCATATTTATTTTTTCTTCCATATCATCAACATCTAGACCAGGAATCTCATGCTGATAGAAGGCAAACATAATAGCATTCGGAGAAGCACTATGTGCTATGCCGAGAGCATGTCCAATTTCATGAACCAACACCATAAGAAAACTAGTTTGATTTTTGGGTATATTAGGATTATTTCCAAAATACCAGCGTTCATTTATATCTAAATGGATTTCTCTACAGGTGCCGCTAGTCAGTAAAGTATGCATGTCCTAAAACGCCGCCAGCATCATCTAATGTCAATGGACATTCATCATTACCCATACAGTTTGCTCTAAAATAATGAGTCTTGCTAACCATGGTTATAGTAATATCAGGAGGATATACAGGGTGACTTCGAAGTTGAGTCATTTATTTTAACAGTGAGTAGATCTGATCAAAAGAAATGTTTTTTTCCTTTACCATTTTTCTGGTAAAATTAAAGTAACAAAGTTATAGCCCTTTGGAAGTTTGAGTACCGCCCTGTCTCAATAATAATATCATGTACTCGTGTTTGGCAACAACGGATATAATCCGCCTTACCGGTTCATCGCATCGGAAACAAAAAAGCGAAAGAATTTGGAACGACGTTTTTGCAATTAAGTATTTTATTCAGTTCAGTTATACATACAGTCAGTGTATGTCGGTTAGCGTGTGAATAGTGTCTGTTGCGTGGCTCAAACGAAATAAAAAATGGCACATGTTTATGCGGATCGGTTTCCCAATCGAGTGCAACCAACCCCTCGTGCCTTTGTTAATGTAGTACAACGGGTTCGTGAATCAGGTGACTTAAGACCTCACAGGGGACCTCACGATCAAATACAGGTCCGCACTGAAATACTTGTCGGGAGGATACTTTATAAAACAAGGTAAACATTTTTTTTTTAATTTTTTTT